GCAAAAGAAGAACAATTAGACTTGTCTTATATGACTTGCAGTCATTTGATTACTCTTTTTTCTAGGGGGGTGGGGTTAAATGAAGAGGGGAAGATGGGAAATGGAGCGTTCTACTCTCCCTATTCCCATTTTGGTTTCCTGTCCAACAAGAGATTAAGGATTAAAAGTAAGGGTTTTAGTGGTGGCAACCCCATCCCCCTTTTCTTTTTCTCTCTCTTGCCCCCTTCACTAATGGGATAAAACGTTAAAGATGTTTTACGAAGGAGAGATAAGATATTTAAGGGTGTAATAACTAGATGTTGATTATGTTTGGTTACACAGTTATAAAAAAGTATTGATGGGTGATGAAATATACGGTATTATGTTTTTTTATGAGATACAACGTAAAAGATGTTTCACGAAGGAGAGAGAAATTATTTAAAGGTGACATAAGGAATTATATCAAAATTGGGATCAGAGATTGTTCCTGTAAATCAATAGACTGATTCTACAGATGAAAAAAAAGGGGTAAAATATATGGGTGAATAATAGGTATTGATTATGTATGATGACACAGTTATAAGAATATTATCGATGTGTGTGGAAGTATATTTTTACACTTGTCCTAGTGGTATAAAATGTTTTTTTTTTTGTATTGGTACATTTTGGATTATAAAGGTTGATTCGGAATAATATATTATGAGGATGTAGGTTGAAAATGTCACCAAAATATTCACTGGCTGAGGGATTTGGTCTTGCTAGGATGGTATAAATCAACTGAAGGTATAGCATGTTAAAAAAAATAGGAATAATTGAAGGGTTTTTTTTTTAGGTAGAAATCGAAAAAATCATTTTAGTAGACTGGGAGGAGAGGATATTAAATTAAGATTTTTTTTTCTCTATACAAAATTGGTAGATTCATGTGGGGGTGGGGGGGTACTGTGACCCCTAGATGGCCAACAATTTAAGACACGTTGGAAAAATACACTGGGAGGAGTGGGTTAGTGTATTACTGTTCGATGGAGTAGGAAAGAAAGATGAAATGAAAGAATGTAGTGGGGGTTTTTTTTTTTCGCCACTGGTTCCCTTCTCTCTTTCTCTCGGGTCCAGAGAGCAAGATTTTTACCATATAAGTAATGAGACTCATAACTTTAAATGTAAAGGGATTTAATTCCTTACAGAAAAGGAATAAGGCTTTTCTTTTCTTTTTTATACCAAGGAGTTTTATTAGGTTTGTACATTTTAAAACACATACAACAGAAGAAGACAGAGAAAAAGAAAATTAAAAAAAAATAACAGTATACATGTGGCCAAAATAGCTGTAGGAAAGGTACATAAAGCAACATACTCATCAGCAATTCCAATTCTTACAAGAATACATAAGCGTAAGATATCGTTAATACACGTAGTGGAGCGACAAAGTAAGGTATTTGTGGATACAGAGATGTAAGTAACCCTACACGACTGTGGCCATTGAGAAAGAGCGTGGAATGGTGGAGAGGGATGGGGCCAACTGCCAATAGGAGGATCAATACGAGGAAAGGTGGTCAGTGGAGGAGGCAGCATCAAAAGTCCAAATACATAGCAAAGTACAAAATATCTATATGTTATAACAAAGGGAACTGCCATAATACAATTATGTGATTCTGATCAAGCATCTGGGGTCTGACAACCAACACGCCCATTGGGAAAGAAGAGGTGAGTTGTAAGGTTGTCTTTTGCAAAGAGAAACTCGAAGTGGGCGTGTGTATTTAAGATTTGGCTTTTGGGATTTTCAATCTATTAGGGCCGACATTGCCGACAGGAAACACATTTTTCTAAAAAATCTTATCCCAGATATTTTTCTACAAAGTATCCCCAAGTTTTTTTGGCTAATGCTACAACAAAACAACGGGGGATTTTAATAGGCTTAATAGGTTTTGGGAGGTCATTTACATGTCAGTTTGAACTGTCCGACCCAGAAAGGCGATATTTGATTATTTGTGGGCTTATGGGGATGTATTAATAAGTATAGTGGCGTATTATGCTCTGAATGCATCACCGATTTTTAATACAGAGCCGTTTGTATTGGCAGTTTTTACTGGAACTTGCCCTTGATTCAGAGGGGCTCTTCCCAGGTCCCGCTGCTAGTCCCCCCTACATCTTTGCTCTGCCTGAGTTGTCCATCCAGGTTGAATGAGGATGCTAATGTATTCAGCCCCCTGGCGTGGCCAGGTTCCGCCCCAACCCAGACGTGTGTGCTTAAATCTCTGATACCATTCAGTGTAACAGCAGACTGTCATGGCGGCACTTTTAAATGGAGATGGCGTCTTCATAGCCTTCTCATTAAATCCTAACATGCTTTTATGGAAATGGCTAATCCTTCTGACCCGAGTGTGTTCTATATGGTCATTGGCTGTTGGGGGAGGTGAGTCCAATTTCCCTCTGGCTTCTGAGTTCAGCTTGAACAGCGGCAGAAGCGGAGGTCCCACTCACCCTCCCGCCAGGCTTCCTCGTCCAGGAGACGTGATATCAGGACTTTTTTCCCCCGAAAACGGGCACCGCGAGGTCTGCACAGAGTGCAGCCAAGATGGCGGCGGTCCGGGAACAGCACAGGCCGACATCTCCTGCATCTCCTTTGGAATCCCTCCTCTCCGCGCGTGCTAGCGAGGACATAGAGACCCCTGATCCTAGTGATGGTGAGGGAGATGACAGGGATATCCCCTCAGCATTTCGTAAGTACTTTGCTCTTTTACCTACTAAGGGGGACATTGAGACTATGTTCCATAACCTGGAATCCACACATAAGCAGGAGATGGCTCAAATTAAGGAGGGCTTCCACTCCATGCATCAGCGTTTGGATGTGGTTGAAAACGCATTGCCCCCTCTCACTGTGGCCCCAGGAGAGCTGCAACATATTGTGCAGCAACAGCATGTGACTATTCAATCCTTATGGACTCAGGTGGAGGACCAGGAAGACAGGAATAGGCGAAACAATATTTGCATACGCGGTCTCCCTGAGGCTACTGGAGCATCGGATTTGAAAGCTACGGTACTGGGAATCTTTAACACCCTCCTGCACAAACCAGTCTCCGACCACATTGAATTGGATAGGGTGCACAGAACACCGGGCTTCCGCAGACCAAACGCGACGCAGCCGCGTGACGTGCTGTGTAGAGTGCACTATTTCTCTGTAAAGGAGGATATCATGGCTAAAGCACGTGCAGCCGGCACAGTGGATTTTGATGGGGCACAGCTTTCACTGTTTCCTGACCTCTCCAAACGCACGCTGGATAAACGCAGGGCTCTGCGTCCCCTCACTAAGGCGTTACAAGATGCGGGTCACACCTACCGTTGGGGATTTCCTTTTTGTCTCTCTGCTAGGAGGAATGGGAAGACGCATTTGCTCCGTGCCCCTGTTGATCTGGAACCCTTCCTCGCCACCAGTGATCTTGGATGCCTGGCCGGATGCCCCATTGCCCCCTTTCACCTTGTCTTGCCGAAACCCTGCAGAGACCGCAGGTCCTCATCTAAACCCACCCCCCGCTAATGTTCTAGATGTACTGCTGGGGTCCGCTGCCCCTGACCTAGGCCTAGGTCACACTCCCTGAGCCCTCCGACGCCCTTTTGCCTGATGGACTGTGGACTTACCTGATATCCCCGGATGCATACCTGATGTACACGGATGCGAGGGTGCCTGCCAGGGGTTGCATCGGCTGCCCACCTGCCCTGTCATGGGGGGGGGGCCCTGGGTTTATCTGGTGGCGTGGAAACCCACTGTTTACCGATCTCTGTTTTAACACGGTGCCTTACATGTTTTTGTTATGGTTTTCTACTGCTGCCCATTATATTATGTCCTGGCTCTTTCCACTTTCGCACTTGTTGCCTTCCCTTAGGAAGGTCCCAGTTGTTATGGGCCTGAGTGGGAGCCCAAGGGCACTGGGGCTCTCATTATGCCCAGTACTCCCCTTGTGTCTCCTACTCGGCTGGGGGTGGGGGGCGGACCCTGGGTTTGGTTTACTTATGCTGCTTAATTTCATGCAGGGTGGTGCTGATTGCTGCTGCTTGCTGTTTGCTGTTTAATGTATAATGTTTTGAATTATATTATCCCTGTGCTACTTGACTCCATACGTAAGGCCATTGCGGAGTTCCGGTCGCATCATGCATCCGACACTACTGCCCTTCCCGTGCAGTGGGAAGCGCTGAAATGCGTCCTTCAGGGCTTGCTGATTCAATATGGCGCCAGGAAGAAACGCGAACGTGGTAGATCCATTCGAACGCATAGATCCCGCACTTATGTGTCTAAAATTGTTTGCCCACGCCAGGGATTGGTTCAATCTTCTGAGCGTATCGCTGGTGCCTTCCAGCGCTACTACTCTACTTTATACAATGTTGAGGCGTCTGGCACGTCTATGGTATTTACAAACTTCCTCAAAATAAACATATTCTTTAAAAAAAACAACAGTATTTAAAAAAAAAAATTTTCATTGATTCATGTCCCCTAGGGCAGTACCCGAACCCCCATACCCTTTTTATGGCCAATAAATTGCATATACAGCTTCAAAATGGGGACATTTGATTTTTAAAGTTCTACCCCCATAGACTTGCATTGAGTTCGAATTCGAACTTTTCCCATGTTCGAATTTGATCCGAACAGCGCGGTGTTCGGCCCATCATTATAGCAGACCTTATTAACACTGCTTAAAGGGTTAATTATGGACTACAGATAGCACTTGTTAAGTTCTACCCATAGAACATAATGTGCTAGTTTAAGGCTATATTAATGTAGACCCTAAAGAAGAGATTGGTTGTGGTCTTGCCTCTCATAAATATAAAAAAAGTAGTCTAAGCTTCAGCTCAGAACTCATTGCTTACCCTACTGGTTCATAATGCAGGGAGAATGCTGCTCAAACAATATGGTTAATGTAGGCTCTTCTGTAGACAGTGTCAATAAGGATATTGCTTTTTAGTAGAAAACAATATAATGTTTGTAATGTAGTGGATAGGATTGCCATATACAGTAAATATTTTTTTTAAATTACCTTGAAACTTTTATGCATTCTAAGAGTTGCTGAACAAAATATGAATCTTGTAAGGAGTAAACGCAGAAATTCATCCCCAAAAAACTGTAGGAAAGCTTGATCTGTAAGAAAGAATACAACTTGAAACATAAAAGAGTGATTTATCAATGTAGGCTTTTCTTTAGTCATGGCATTTAAGCAACCCTGTCACTACAGGTTTGAAAGTAAAATAAAAGCAGCTGCTATATACCTTACTTTTTGACAGCCAATGTTAAAATTCCACCATGTCTCTGGTCCCCAGCCCCTGCAAGCATCCAGCACTTCCGAGTGTGTGAATACCTGCTCCCCCTATTGTTCCTCTTTCCATCCATACAGAATGAACCACAGCTTGCAGCAGCAGAAGGTATTTTACAAATCCGGAAGTGTTGAATACATGCAGTGGTTGGGGATCTGCAACACATGAGCTGCCAGAAAGGTAAGCATATATCATTTTGCTTTTATTTTACTTTGAACCCTGTAGTGACGAGTCACTTTAAAGTGACTGTGTATCAAAAATAAGGAAAAATGATATTTGGTTGGCAGGGGGTCTCAAGAGGGGTGCAGAGGGTCTCAAGAGAGGTGCAGAGGGTCTCAGGAGGGGTGTGGAAGGTCTCAGGAGGGGTGTGAAGGGTCTCAGGAGGGGTGTGGAGGTTTTCAGGAGGGGGATATGTGTAGGCCGCTAGAAGTGCTGTAAACAGGCGCCGCGTGGTTCCATAGAAGGCTCACGCGAAGTCCCCAGCAAACGTGGGACCTAAGACAGCCCCTTCAGTTTGAAAAATTAAAGTGCTTGTATCAGTTTATGGCATTGGGTCATTTCCATGAGTAGGTATACTTGTGAAAATGCCCAGTTATTGGCACTGATACTGATACCGGTATCGGTGCATCCCTGAAAGTTACTATTCCTTACATTGCTGAGCAATGTAAGGAATAGTAACTTGTATTGTCATAAAAAAATGATTGCTCAGCCTCAGTGCCATTTACAAACAGTGACCAGCTCAGTCTCAGTGCCATATACAAACAATGACAAGCTCAGCCTCGGTGCCATATACATACAATGACCAGCTCAGCCTAAGTGCCAAATTCAAACAATCACGAGCATGCATGGCCGATTCAAGTCACTACCTTAAGGGAACATTTCTCACAATTAGATACTGTGGCAGGCTTCCATTTCTGCCAGGTGGGAGCTTGAGGTCAGAGTCACTCAACAAATGGGGCCCCCGGGCAATACAAGATTATGGGGGGCCCTTTTTCTACACTGTTCACCTCTGCACCCCGGCATCCCTCTTCCTACACTGTTCACCTCTGCACCCCTGAATCTCTCTTGCTACACTGTTCACCTTTGCACCCCTGCATCCCTCTTCCTACACTGCTTACCTCTGCATCCCTCTTCCTACACTGTTCACCTCTGCACCCCCTGCATTCCTCTTCCTACACCGCTCCCCTTTGCACCACCAGCATCACTCTTCCTACACTGCCCACCCCTGCACCCCCTGTATCCCTCTTCCTACACTGCCCATCTCTGCCGCCCCTGCAACCCTTTTTCTAATGCTTCTCACATCTGCACCCCCCTTCCTACACTGCTTGGCAGGGGTGCAGAGGTAAACACTGTAAGAAGAAGGATGCAAAGGGTACAGAAATTAATAGTGTTTTAAGAGGGTTTAATGTCTGCCACCTCCTTCTATCATTGTTAACTTCCACACCCTCTACATCCCTCATATTACACTACTGACCCCCTCTCCTACTCTCTGTTGCCAGCTGCTCACCCCCTGCAGCTTAACTCCAGCTCCTGATACCATGGGCTGTGGGTGGTGTAGGGGGTGGAGCCAAAATGTGGTGAGAGTCACCGGTCCTTCTAGCAGCTGATCAGCAGACAGGACCTTAACAGATCTGCCCAGCATATGGTCCCGCCCACTCACCATGGGAACAAGCTGATCGACAGGCTCCTGTCTTCCTTTAATGCAGAGGAGCCCAGGTCCCTGTAGCGAAGGAATGTATAAGTCTGCCAATCAACTGGTTACCATGGCAAGTGGGTGGGACCATCCTACTTCACTACAGGGAGCCTGTACTGAGTTTGGGGCCCCTCTGCTGACTTGATGGGGCCCGGTCCGGTACAGGAGGCTGCCTGTACCCCGTCAGCGGTGCTGGCCATGGGCACCCTCATGGCTGCAGGCCCTCGGGCAGTTCCTGAGTGCCCGAATGGCTAGTCCGCCTCTGGTCAGAGCCAAAGAGATCACTCCAAGAATAAAGTATGTATAATCTGCGCTTGTGGATATATAGGGTGAGCTATCTAGATAAATATATAAATGTATAAAATCTAAAATATTAAAAAATGTTACAAAATATTAAAATATTCTTTTTGCACTTTTGAGATCTAAATATCACTGTGACTGTTATATGTGAGGCACCATTGCTCAATATTAGCGAGTAATTAACGTATTTATATTTATTAGTCCAATTTATGCACCTTTGCACAATTTGAGATTATTTATTTATATGTCAACTGTGTTACACGGAGTTGATTCACTATTTGGTGACCCTGAGCGCTGCACATTCAATTACATACCAAAGAGATCACTCCGCTACTGTACTGTGGCTGGGCGGACCAGACTGACAGGAGGCAGAGGCAGCTCTGGCAGGCACAGTTCCTTTGCAGCCGCAAATGAACATTCCCCTCTAAGTTGTGGGCCCTAGATGTGACAGTGGGCCCTTGGCAATTGCCCACTTTGCCCATTGGATAAAGCCGGCTTGCTGGTTGGTGGTAAAAATGTTAATGATAATAACAATGACAACAATTTTAACAATGACAAAACTATATGGTCTCAAAACTAGCCTGGCTAAAAACTGCCTCTGAAATTGTATGAGAGCTTTATACCCAATTATCTTGTGGATCTGCTGATGATGTAATGTAAGCAATTATAATGATATACTGTATAGTGATACAAGCAATGCCCATAAAAACAGGATATGCTCAAAAGTTTGCATATCCTGGCAGAAATTGTGACATTTTGGCATTGATATTGAAAATATGACTAAACATACCAAAAACGGTCTTTTATTTAAGGATAGTGGTCATATGAAGCCATTTATTATCACATAGTAGTTTGGCTCCTTTTTAAATCATAATGATAACACCCAAATGGCCCTGATCAAAAGTGTATACACCCTGGAATGTTTGGCCTTGTTACAGACACAAAAGGTGACGCACAAAGGTTAAAATGGAAATTAAAAGTTTAATTTTTAAATTGCAATTAGTGTCTGTGTTTAAATAGTCAATGAGTTTGTTAGCTCTCACATGGATGCACTGAGCAGGCTAGATACTGAACCACGGGGAGCAGAAAAGAACTCTCAAAAGACCTGAGTAAAAAGGTAATGGAACTTTATAAAGATGAAAAAGGATGTAAAAAGATATCCAAAGCCTTGAAAATGCCAGTCAGTACTGTTCAATCACTTATTAAGAAGTAGAATATTCTGGGATCTCTTGACACCAAGCCACAACTGCCAGAAGAATTGTTGGGATACAAAGAAAAACCCTCAAGAGAAATACAGGCTGCTCTGGAAAAAGATGGTGGGGTTGTTTCAAAGAACACAATACGACGATACCTGAACCTAAATGAGGTGCATGGTCAAGTTGCCAGAAAGCAGCCTTTACTGTGCCAATGCCAAAAAAAAAGCCTGGTTACAATATGCCCGACAACACCTTGACATGCCTCACAGCTTCTGTCACACTGTAATTTGGCGTGACGAGATCAAAATAGAGCTTTATGGTTAAGTATCGGTAATTGGTATCGGCAAGTACATGCGGGGATGTACTTGTACTTGGTCCTAAAAAAGTGGAATCGGGACATCCCTAGTCACAACCATAAGCGCCATGTTTCAAGAGGGGTCGACAAGAATACCATCCCCATTGTGAATCATGGTGGTGGCTCACTGATGTTGGGGATGCGTGAGCTCTAAAGACACGTGGGAATCTTGTGAAAATTAAAGGCAAAATGAATGCAGCATGGTATCAGAAAATACTGGCAGACAATTTGCATTCTTCTGCATGAAAGCTGCGCATGGGAAGCTCTTGGACTTTGCAGCACAACAATGACCCTAAGCACAAGGCCAAGTTGATGGGAGACCACCTCCAGTGGTTACAGCAGAAAAAGGTAAAGGTTCTGGAGTAGCCAGCATAGTCTCCTGACCCTAATATAATCGAGCCACTCTGGGAGATCTCAAACATGCAGTTCATGCAAGACGAACAAATAGTTTGCATGACCTAGAGGCATTTTGCCAAGACGAATGGGCAGCTATACCCCCTGCAAGAATTTGGGGGCCTCATAGACAACTATTACAAAAGACTGCACCCTGTCATTGATGCTAAAGTGGGCGATACACAGTATTAAGAACTAAGGGTATACAGACTTTTGAATAGAAGTAAACATTTTTTTTTTATTTGTTGCCATGTTTTGTTTTATGACTGTGCCATTCTGTTATGACCTACAGTTGAATATGAATCCCATAAGAAATAAAAGAAATGTGTTTTGCCTGCTCAATCATGTTTTCTTTAAAAATGGTACCTATAGAGGGGCTTGTCGTGAACGTGGCGGCGTGAGGCAGCAAACCGTAGGAGCTCTATGCAGCTAAGCAGCTGCCTAGTTGACTTTTTCAGTGTACTTTAACCACATGCCGAAGGAGAGACCTTCCTCCACTGCAGACAGGACTATCGACAGGCCCACATTTTGGACTTGTTCTCCCGCTCGGGCCCTGACAGACAACCGTAGCCTAACCCCAATATGTCACCGCCTTCAGGAGACTCACTTTAAACATTAGCAGATCCCTTGGTTGCATAATCATGATTTCCCTGTGGTTTATCATTCAGCCTCTCCTATATCCAAATCTAAAGGTGTTAGCATACTGGTGGCTAAGTCCCTAACCTGGGATTTGATTGACATTACACCGAACTCGGAAGGGAGGTTTTTGTTTGTAAAAGGGCGGTGGGGGAGAACGTGCTCACTTTGGCTAATGTATATCTACCCAACTATGATCATTTGACTTTTCTCCGTGGGATGATCCCTTCTCTTCTTGAATTCCTGGAGA